CCAGTCACAAGAGTGTGTACATGGAGGGATTTCTTTAGACAGAACTTCCAAAAAAGATCTTACAATAACTTGTAAGATCCCTCTATGCGACACATGGCTATTTCGGTACATTCAGTCATGGTTCATTTTGCTATATAATCGACATTAGAAGAGCAAGTAAGACTTACGAAAGTGTGCCTGGAATTAAGGATCGATTGCTTGTTGTTCTTTTAACTTTAACCATATAAGTGGTTAAAGTTTCATCAAATTCTGTTGCCTGGTGATTAACATCGGGTGTATAGATCTAATCATCCTTTTCCATGCTCCACCTCTGTGGTTAGGTGGTGGAGAGTTGAAATGCCATTGAACTTGCTTCGTTGCAAATTCGCTACTTATCTCCCGTCACGTAAAGACCTCTGTCTACTCCACAGCGGCCTATCGAGTGTGCTTCGTCCAGCTCCCTTTTTAGTCTCTTAATGTTTCCTTTGCGAGTGTTAAGGTCCATTTCTACCAAACCCACTATTATTTTTTGTCAACATCTGTTGCTGTGTTTTCCGTAACAAGAATCAATAAAAATAGTTATTGATGTATGTTTTATAAAGTCCTAACATGTCGATTTTCGTATTCATTATTTAGTCCACAATTCAAATAAGACTTGTATATGCTCAAGTGATTCGGATGACGACACGAGGCTATTAATGCATCGTACTTCTGACCTCCAGAGTGTGTTGCCTGCATCTAAAATTGAAACCCTAGAGTAATACTTTTTAGCTGTCTTTCTGAGTCAAAGAATGAAGATTAATAAGTCAATGTAGATGATGAGAGCTCCGAACCTAAAGCTCGTTCTGAGCATGACATTGTACTGATTAGGCAGCTACTTAATGCCTCAAAATATGACCGGGGTCACCTTGCTAAAAGTGTACAGACTAGGGAGTCTAACGGACTCGAAACCAAATCATTCCAAACTGCTTAAAGTAGTATTCAGCTCTTCGAATGAACGTGACCTAATTTTACAGAATGGACACAAATTAAAGGGTTCAGGAGTCTATATCCGAAAAAACCTACCGTTGACAGACCGTGTTAAAAGACGGGAAGCCGAGAAAGAGCTAAAACTTAGGTTAGACGCTGGCGAAAAGGACCTGAAAATTTTAAATGTTCGGGTTGTAAGACTTCAACAGAGAATGATGCCGAAGCCACTCTGGGTGAAGCACGAAGGCACTTAAACAGGCTTCGGATCTGTTACACCAATGCACGAAGCTTACTTAATAAGCGATCGGGACTAGGTGTACAGATTGACTCTACAAAGCCAGACATAATTGCAGTAACAGAAACCTGGCTGACACAGGCTATAGATAGTATGGCACTTGATTTCGAGGGTTTTACGTTAGCAAGGGCCGACAGAATACAAAAGCTCAAAGGAGGGTTAGTAGCTCTATTCATTAGAAATGCTATCCCATTATTTTCCATTATCGACAGTGTATCCTATGAGAGTGGGACATGTGAATTAGTTAGTTGCCGCTTGAAATACAAGGGACAAGAGCTGCTGATTGGCTTGGTCTATTGCAGTCTAAGCTGTGAGGCAAATGAGATCCTGTTTAGCAGTCTCAATACTTGGTCCCAAAGTGGTCGATGTCTAATCCTAGGGGACTTCAATGAACCTATGGTAGACTGGGAAAATCTGCGAACTAAATCGTCGGAGAATTCTTTCGAGCAAGAACTAGTTGATGGGGTTATCACATGTGCCTTAGTGCAACATGGGAAAGAAGCGACAAGGTACGATCAGGATACTGAATCATCCTTATTAGATCTTATACTGGCTCACTATGAGGATGATGTTGCGAACCTCCATTATATGCCACCCCTAGGTAAAAATGATCACGTAGTTTTAACTTTCGACTTCCATATAACTGTCAATCACGAGCACGCGTTAGCTCAATGCCAACCTAACGTCTGGAAAGCAAACATACCGGATATCATACACTCAGTATCGTTAGTAGAATGGACAATAGACCCAGAGTCCTCCATTGAAACGGCCTGGGACGCATTTAGAAATTCATACTTAAAAGTTACCACACCTCACATCCCTTGGACTATACCAAAGGGGCCGAAAAACTCACCACCATGGTTCAGTAGGGAGGTCCGTATCCTTCTCCGTAAGAAAAGGAAAATGTGGGATAGATTTAGGTTACTGGGGACTGATGAGGCAAAATCTCAGTATCGAAAGGCTCGGAACACTTGTGCCTCGACCCTCCATAAGTCTAGAAAATTGTACGAAGAAAAACTTGTTAAGGAATCCATAGAATGTTCTAAGCGCTTGTATTCCTATATAAACCAAAGGACAAGGAGAAAAGGAAATATTCCTGCTCTATGGGGAGACAGTACTGCTTCATCATTAGTGGAGGACGACTTTGGTAAGGCTCAAGCGTTCTCGAACTACTTAAGCAGCGTGTATACCATAGAAGCGCCCTTCTCGTCAGCGTATACAGATCCCCCATACATACACTGGATAGCGTGACCATTAAAGAACTCGATGTCTTTGGTCTGCTAAATAAGCTTGACATAGGTAAATCCACGGGGCCCGATGAATTACATCCTAGGCTACTAAAGGAATTATCTAACTTCGTTGCAAGCTCTTTAAGTACATGCTTTAATCTATCCGTTACGCAGGGTCGCTTACCGAAAGATTGGAAAAACGCCATAGTAAGTCCTGTCTTCAAAAAAGGCACGGAACACGAACCTGAGAACTACCGCCCCGTTAGCCTATCTAGTGTGGTTGTTAAAATCTTAGTAAAGATTATTAGGGAGGAGCTGTTTAAGTATCTCGATAAAAACCGGATCCTCTCGGAGAAGCAGCACGGCTTCAGAATAGGTTATTCTTGTCTCACTAACTTATTAGTGGCTCGTGAAAGCTAGTGCACTCTTAAGGACCAAAAGCTACCTGTAGACGTCGCCTTCATTGATTTCAGTAAAGCTTTTGATAAAGTCCCGCACAACCGGGTGTTATATAAGTTAAGAAAAGTCGGGATTGGAGGCAATTTATTGATGTGGATAAAAGACTTCTTAGTTGGGCGTCAACAAAGAGTTCGGGTGAACTCAAAGTTATCTAGCTGGGAAACTGCATAGTCGAGTCCCCCAGGGTACAGTTTTGGGGCTAGTGCTATTCCTCTTGTATGTAAATGACCTTCCTTGTCTCCTATCATCATCGGTCTTGCTATATGCTGACGATGTCAAGATATGAGGAACGATACGATGTAAGAGTGATAGCGTAGAACTTCAAAATGACCTGAAGAAGTTATCTGAATGGTCTCAAACATGGCAGTTGCCGATAAATACTTCCAAGTGTGTTGTGATGTATATCGGTCATCAAGGCACAGATACATACACGATGAACAACACTGAGCTACCTGTCGTCCAGACATATAATGACTTAGGAGTTGTCGTTAGTCAAGACTTAAAGACTACTGCACACTGCCATGCGATAGCCGCCAAAGGTTTAAGAACCTTATGGTCAATACGTAGAGCTTTTCGTCATGTCGACGGCAAAACGTTTTTGACTTTGTATACAGTGTTCGTTCGTCCTAAACTTGAGTACTGCATAAAAGCGGCCAGCCCCTGTTTAAAAAAAGACAGTGAGCTTCTGGAAGAGGTTCAGAGAACGGCGACTAAGCTGATTCCCGGAATAGCGAAGCTTCCGTATGAAGTTCGACTGGCCAAGCTGAACCTTTTCCCGTTGTCACATCGCAGAACTAGAGGCGACTTGATTACAGTTTTCAAATTGCTTAGTGATAAATTCGCACCTGATATGCCCTCATTTTTCTTGTCTTCCAAAACAGGGAATTTACGAGGACACTCCAAAAAAGTTCACAAGCCGAGAACAAATTACTTATCAGCTGACTATCGACTTTCCCATCGAATCATCAACGAGTGGAATTCACTACCTCAGCACGTGGTTGAGGCTCCATCCGTCGACTCTTTCAAAAAAAAAGTTGGATCAACTGAGAGACCACAATTGCCAGGACTAACATAGACCATCGAGCCTCCTGTCCTTCACAAACTGAAACTGAAGTGAGTGAGGGCTATCGACCATCTACGGGAATAACTCAGAGTCTATTCCCAATTTCGTAGTTCAATAAATTAAATTTATAGTAAACAACAGAAGCGTTCAACCGCTTTTAGCAAATGAAGCTAGTGTTTTACAAGTATTTTTCTCCTTTATTCATAGACATTTGAATTCCTTTTGAAATTATCGCGGACGTTTGTTTGTAACTGTGTAGATTATGGAGGGAGTTTGTTTTTTCGGCCAACTCCTTGTTATTTCTATTCAAGTGATTGTCCACACCTAGAAGTAACTTTGTGTTAGTTTCATTCCAGTTTTAACAGTTCTTTAGATTATTTTGGACACTTTTCATGCGAGTGTATTGTTCATACATGCTAACTGTGTTATAATATTTCAGAAGTAGTTACTTTAGAATATTTTTCGGCAGTCATATGAAAAGTTAATCAAAGTAGACTGTCATGACGACACCAAGATACTTTTGACATGATTATAAACCAGTTTTTAGTTGTGAAATAATTCAATCTAAGGGCAAAAAATTTACATCAGGTAAACTGTCGTGACCGTAAGTATTATTTATAGTAAACTTATACGGTGATAGCGAAAGGATGCTTTATTAGTTTAATGACAAATAATCGGCTAAATTGTCGTTAGAATCCTTTCAGGAATCCATAAGTCACGGTAATATATAGCGTATATTTCCTGCCATTTGTTTCCTTTTTTAATTAAAGAACTTAACAACTTCTTGTCATCAAGTTCTGTGTTCCCCAGTCTTCTAATGCTTACCAGTTTTTCAGAATGTGACTAAATATTAAGTTCAAGTTACCTCTTAACGAGCCACTGGCTGTCATCGCGTTTGGATTTCACACAAGAAACCAAAGAGCTTCTATCTTATATCTAATAAATGCAATAGTTTGGCTTACATTTACCAAAACGTTTTGCGTTTGGCGAAATCAGAAGGAGGTATAAGCAATCGAACACGGTGTCTGGTTTCACATAGGTTGTCGACGAGACTGTCATTTATGGATCATCTTTGAGCGATGCCAACGTGACCTCGAAAACATCCTCTTTGTGACTGGTATATAAAGAAGGCTGCAAATTCGTTATGATGGCCAGTACTTGGTCATCACCTGAGTGAAGAACCAGGTACACATATATTTTACATCTACGAAATTACAACTCGATAGTAATTTCTAAGTTAAACTGTACAAGTTCAAATAGTTGTTTCTATAAGTAAGGATTATCCATTAATCGCTTTGTGGTCAAGATGGTTTCAGAAGTGCTAATCGGGCGAGAAACCTATAAATCACCATATAAAGCTGATTTAACCAGTTATCGTAGTTTTGCCTTCAACGTTATGTAATCATACAAGTAAATGTAAGGGATATGTATGTTACTTCATCTAAGTCACATCAATCCACCTAGTTTGTCAAAATATAGTGTAAATCTTAGTTACTGGCAGCACATGACCTCACATCAGTTTGTTTAATTGACAGTACATTGTACTTACATTTGTTGACATGACCATATCATCTTGATAAACCAAGTTACACGATTTGCCAGAAAAAAGCGAATCGCATTAAAATTATGGCTGAAAATCCAGTGCACATGACCTTCATTACTCATTCTGGTATAATAGTTACCTCGTTCTTTGAAGTTAAGTCTCGATTTTTATGAATTTTTTTGTTTAGTTGCACGGAGATGACGCTCCGAGCTGGTGCGTCTAATATTTCTGTCCGAGCATGGCGTCGCTACTTCACTCTGTCATCTGTTGATGCAGTCATCGAATTGATGCGAGAAGTGTTTATTAGTTGTGGAGTAGTCTTTTCTGATGAGCAGACAGGAATGAAGCATCTGAAAACTAATACCATCAATAATTCTGAGATGTGTGACATTGGAGTCGATTCCTCCATCAAAGAGCCTAATTTGGCTTTCATTTCTATTGTATTAGGTTACGTAGAAAATCATCTTACTTCTAGCACATCAGAAGACTTTGATTCTATAAAACTAAAAAATACTCTTCATCGCAAACTTGTATCCCGAAGAAAGGAAAATTTACCTCAAAATTACCCCCGTTCACGTTCATCTTCTCTTACAAAATCACAATCACCCTTATCTATTCATCTTGAAACACCAGAAGAACAGTCAGAAGGTTCTAATGACCACCTGGAACTGAACAATAAGTTAAGTTCTCTTCCCAGATCTTTGTCATCAAATGTATTCTTACAAGAAGCTATTCACGAATCTCCTGTATGTCGTCGTCGTGCTAGACGATTTGGTTCTGCTCGTCGTGTTCGTCAACGAAACGAGTCTGAAATATCTACTTCTGCAGCAACTGCAATTGAATCCCCACTCACTATTGCTGCTAAAGATGAACCACTACAAATACTCACAGATATACCAGTTAGAAAGCGACGTCGATTTTCTGATAGCACTCTACCAAATTCAGCTTTTCCATGTTTAACATTTGATGAACTTGAACGCTTGTATTTAGATTTCTACAATCTCATCACTAATTCTCCTAAAGTGAGTTTCAATGAGTTATTTAATTTATCCCTTAATTACTTTTATTTAAAATATTTAAAGTACTGTACTTGTAAACGTTCATATACATGTGTTTAAATTGCACATTGTTTCACTCCTATTTTACAGTTCACTATTTAGTAATTTTAAATTGTTATTAATCAACCTGCTTTATTTTCATTATTATTTTGTTTTTATATTACTATTACGCTTTATTTAAAATATTTAATAGACTGGGAAATTGCGCTGTACATTTAGCCATATTTTCACTTTATTCATTGGTTTAGGATTGTGATTCAGTAGCTTAACTAGTTGAATCCTAGCTAGTAAACCCCATTTCTAAACAATAGTATTGTTGTGTTTAATCAAAGATTGCTTAAATACCTAGTACATGAACTAGTACTCAGTCACTGATTTAAATTCAGTTACTGTTTCATTATGTTCTATGTTGATTGAGATGTAATATGCAAAAGGTCATCTAAAAGTAATATGACCAAATTACTGTATAAGTTCATGATATTAGTCAGTGAGTCTGAAACTCGCTAGTAATTTTAGGCCTACCACCTACATTTTATGGTGCATCCAGTCAGTCAGTCAGTCAGCTACAATGTAGGACCAGGCACATATATGCATCGGTCCAGGTTGCCATACCTCATTAGCACAGCAAGATGAACACCGGATTCATAGGAGTGGTTAGGTTAAAGGTGGTAACATATAGGAGAAAGATTGCATATAAGGATACAGTACCGCAATATAGAATTAGTTCGTAGAAAGAAAGATATGAAGCAATTTTAATCTCTTAGTTTAAGGAAAGACAGGGAGTGTATGCACCGACGCCATTGTGATCGATTCTGAGCCACTGTTTATTTCTCTTGATGGAAAGCTACAAGTAGTTTTAGGCAAGAAAAGCAAGTCAGTCGAAAAGAGTGTAAGCATGTAATGATCACTGATACTAATGTTACGTGCACCGACGTTAATAGGATTAAAGCGAATTATGTAAAACTTGAGTGAGCAAAATCATGAAACTGATCTGTATTATACCACCCAGTATTATGTAATGAGATTATAGTCTGTTGATTAGTCTATAAAATGTTAGAGATCATTAGCTAAATATCCCAAGTAAAATAACTGGATATCTATACCAACGGCACGATTTTTGTCTAAATTTATACCCCACATTTGTCTTATCCTTGTTCTTGTAGGAGAAGATTGTTTTGCTCTGCAGTGTTTGGGATTGAAGAATTATTAAATGCATGGAGACACTATTAGTCTATAGACGAACTTCATCATACAATGTGACAATGTAATGGTTGCTCACAACACCTCTGAATGAACCGATACCAAATATAAGATTACTAACCAGGAAAATCTGCTTTGTATCTTTTTATTTTATTATTTATTTATTTGAACACATAAATATTGGTACAAGGGGGCACCAGATATATATGCGCCACACAAAACAATGAGAATGGGAAGGGAACAAGGTAAGGTGAGTATAGGAAAAAAAGAAAAATAACGACTATAGATTAGTGTATGGTAGTGTAATAATAATAATAATGGTGGAAACGGAAAGGCGCAACCAGAATTCTGGTTGTTCATTTGTATCTAGTATAGTAACATACTTGTGTTTAACTTATTTACCGAAAAGTAAACATGAATAATTGGCATAAACAGTTAAAAAATATTGGCCTCATGGGTCACTAACTATTTCATCGCATTAAGATCTAACTGCCTAATTCTTATCCATCCTCATATCAATGCACTGAATATATATATATTGTAAATTAGCCTCAACACTTTTTTCTCAATTTTCGTTTATTTTCACTGTGGACTGCCTAAAATGTACTCTTGTACAGAGTACTAAGGCCTTATTTCCGAATGCACAAATAACAATCAAATACGCCATTAGAAATATGAGCTTTTTTCATATTTAAAGTAGATGACATAGTTAAATTTATGGTAATAAAATATGACTTTTTTTATTCTCCTTTGTAGTTGAAACCTTTTATAGCAGACACAATCAGTTTTATTAATGGATCAGAGTCTAAAACACAGAAATTTCACTGTACTTCAACATTAACGCCAGCAAAGAAATACGCATGTCGTGCACTTATCTCTGCCATATGTGAAGTTTTATGGAGCCAAATGACAGCTAGTCGTGTCAAAGAACGATTGACGCATACACAAAGCGTGTATTCTTTTCTAACAAGTTAGTAAATATTTGTATCTTAACTTCATCGCGACCTAAAAAAAATTGGGTTGGTGGCTACATAATTGTTACAGTTACAGAAATATTATACAATGCATCATTTTAGTTTAAATTGCTTCATTCAGTCATAAAAGTTTAGTATTAACTTATTGCCATCTCAGTAACCACTTTGAGTCAGTTACGAACAACTTGGTACATATGTCCACTGTATCAAATTGTCATACTTTACATCAGTACAGCAAAAGCAAATTATTAGGACGAATTCAAAGATGAAATATTAGTATTAAGTGTAGTGAAAATTAAACGGAATGTATACCTAACAAGCGAATAACATAGTCGAGTAATCCATTTTGCAATGGCTTGGGTTACCTCTTCATTGATATTTTGACTTAATTTTAATGTATTGGTTGGAATTTGTGCATCTTGTGCGGACTATCTCGATATGACAATTGTCACAAGTTTATGGAGAATAGATTGTGTGGTAGCAGTGAGATCCAAGGTGCATATTCGGTTGTACGAAGGAGTGAGTGGGTATCTTGACTAACTAGCTAATCTTATAATCCATTGGGTTCTAAACTGGTTCGAATTTCAAGTAAACATCAACTTCTAGACCCAGATACACCCAGCTGACGACTCCCGGACAGGACGAAACGCGCGTTTTGGTTCCCACTGTTAGCCGGATTCTGTCCATTTTATATGGAATCGAGGGATGTAAAATTTCAAATAGGAAAAATTTAGAATTAGAGGCTAATAAAAAACATACATCTACGCCACTGAGCCATGTCTTATAAGAGCTCTGAATATAATAAAACAACCTTTGTACTATCAAGGACAGTTCTATTCTATATCATTTGTTGTATTTTTAAATTTAGCAGCACTTAGTTTCTCATCAGAGTTACCGTTTTCAAAGCTGATATCAATGTTTGTGCATCATTTGTCTATCTACCTAGACCTTCATTTCAAAGCAAGTGAAAATTGGGACCCAGTGGTTAAGATATTCACGCTTTATCCACTAACCCATAGCTTTCACTATCAAAGACCTGGTAGTTATTGAGTACACATTTATCTAGCTATTATTTCGTGAGTTCTCACAAATCCTACATTTCTGTCATGAGCTTTTAATTACATAGTGACTAGTCATATTTTTTTATTGATCCACTTTGCTCGGAACTTTGACCAACTTTGTTTGTTTACTAATTTCATGATACCCATTATCCGACATATGGATTTTCTTATTCGAACCAAGAGATTGTACTGAATTTTCATGCTACTTATTCATCTTGTCTAAACATCATTGTTACCATATTTTTTGTTTCAATTTTTATAGCGGGCATTCTAGATAGTTTCGGATTGGCGTATACAGTTGTAGCGGCCTGCCAACTCCTCGGTTATTCTGATGTAGACCTAGCATTATCCGAAGACCACGGTTGGGTTGAATTTGGTCCCCCGGAATCTCGTCAGACAGCTGATGTAGCTAGTTGGGTACAGGAATCTCATACATCTGCCAGTTCGCATAATTCGGAATTCTCTAATTCGCATGATGAATTGGTGCAACAAACAGAGCACTCTAGGACCAGAAAAACATCGTCGTCTACTGAAGATGAGCATAATCCACCTTCCATTCGCATTCCACCACTCGAACATTCTTGGCTTTATGTAAGTGGATATCCGGTAGTTTGTCGTCCACGCATAATGGCTGTAGCTGCTGCGATTGCGGCGATACAACCAGGGGCTTCATTATCTGCTGTCACTCAAGCTCCAACTTCAGAACCTTTTGCTTATGGCACGCTTTCACCAAATCCTTCACTATCCTCCGGTGGTGACCTTATTACACCTACCGGTTTAGTTAAGCATTTATCATCAGCATCAGTGATCTCGATGCAGGTAAGTGGTAGTAACGTTAACATTTTGAATCATCCCAGAATTATCTGCAACTTTAAACAATCTATATATACATGTATATCAATATTACATAAATCAAGCCTACATGAGTGTTCCTGCATTATTCTGTTGTCTCCGTTTAAATTTGAGCAAAATGTATAACAACCATTGACTAGAACTTGTTACCAGCAAACCCATACTTTTAAGCATCGCTGCACGTGTTTAGAATACGATAAAAAATTCAAAATTTTATAACCATCATACTACTGATGCAAAGTTAACATAGATTAACTTTTACTTACATATGTTAATGGTTTTTGACGAGGATTGATTCTATTGATAAGGTATTCTCAATAATATGTTCACATGATCTTTAGGGAATGTAAGGACTAATAATATTTTCAGTTTGGGGTTGTGAAGATTGTTGAATTTCATCAAAATCACGAACCGATCCATGGTGGTCCAACATGATTTCAATGAGACTAATAATACTGTCCAACTATCATTGTAGTGAACGAGAACACCAGTAACGACAACCAAATGTGTTTTAACACAAAATTACAGAATCTCTTAGTAAAATATGAGAACCATACAGTAAAGAATCCATTTGCAGAGTGTCAGTCAATTGTCTCAGACTTGATTGTTCCTTCGTTCCCACACCAATCACTCTGTTCTCTTTCTTTTCTCTTCGATTTTCTTAACCTTCTACTACCAGGCATTTCACTTTTGATTTGTGATACATATACTCATATCTGTCGACATCAGTAGCACACACTACACCATGACTAACGTTACGGTAGAATTTGTTTTAAACCCCATGACTTAATGGATTCAAAACAGTGTTTAAGCCGTCAGTTCAAAAAATTTTTTAACAACCATTTGTTTTGTGTTAGTTCGAAATTCATTATTTTATATAAACTCGAAGTATAGTTATTATCTCATGATCGATAATGTTGTAGACTGGGTTGATTTTGAAAATTTTCATTTTAATCCTGACCTTACCTTCGAGAAGTGAACTGGTTGGTTTAATGAAAAAGTAATTCAAATCGAATATGTGTGCATAAAACAATAAAATTTGTTTACTTACTTAAGCCTGTTACCCCTTATAAAGTGTCACAGGCCACCGACCAAGATTCTCCTACCGACTCTGTCTTGGGTTGTCCTTTCCAGTTATTTCCAATTGCTATTGATTATTTTGATATCTTTCTCCAATTCCTGACTCAATGTGTTACTTTTCCCTTCAGAATTTCATATTAGGGCTTGTGTCGTTATGCGGTTTGACGATTTCCGCAATGTATGTCTTATCCATCTCCAGTATCTTTTCATAATTTCCTTTTAATCTGGAAGTTGGTTTGTTCTCTCCCACAGTAGGTTGTTGCTGGTAGTGTCCAACTAACAGTTCTGGGTTATCTTGCGTAGACAATTGTTTATAAGCACTTGTACTTTTTTGATGATGGTTGTGGTAGTTCCCTAAGTTTCAGCTCCGTACAATAGAAATGTCTTGATCATAGCATTTAATTTGTGTTAATTTAATATTAACTGATAAAAAGGGTTTCAATCTTTTCATCACAAGAAAATAAACAAGATTCATTAATCAAATATCAATCCACATATTCAACTTTGAGTTGATTTGTATTTAATGACTAGTAGTAGTACTATCTGACTGACCAAACTAATATGTAGATTGTTATTACCGATTTGGTAAACAAACAATGTAATTCACAACTTTGAAAGAACTAAGCACTCGATTCGACTGAATTGATTGTTTTATTCAGAATATCGGTTGTTTCTTGAATTTTTTTCACTACTTTTTATTGAAAAAAAACAACTTGTTTATTCCTCTTTATTTTACATTTAGCTGGTTACATTAAAGCATCAACTTTTATGGTTATGCTTCGATGCTGGTTGTCTATCACGTTATCCTTTGGGGTTAACTAATTTAGGTGATTTAGAAGATGCATTTCCTACTATGGGACGACTTGCTACATATTTAAATTCATTACATTCATCAGTTAAAACAAATTTAAAATGTACTAGTGATTTGACGAATGAATTAAATGTTTTGGTGGATCAGTCTAACTGGTTGTCATCTATTTCACCGTCCACTACTACTGCTACTACTACTTCAATTCCAAATTCACATATAAAACTGTCAGAGGGGCCGAATTCTCAATTGCCAGAAACTGTTTCACTGGCTTTGGCTCTTTACAATCGTGCTATTTTAGTCAATCAACACTATTATTCCAATCGTCATGTTTATCCGTATACATGCTTGGCGGGATGTTTGTACAGGCATGGAGATAATCGAAGTGCATTGCGCTACTGGGCAGAGGCATCTAAAGTTATCGGACAGTAAGTCTTGTCAACCTTTTTCCTACTTGTTTTTCGTCATGTGGAGTTTCCAATTTTTTGCACTGAATACATTAAAACTCTAGGATGCTTAACTTTTCTTGTATTTGTTAAATAGTCTCATTGTGAAACATTATTTATTTATTTGAACACATAAATATTGGTTCAAAGGGGCACCAGGTACATATACTTACTTACTTACTTACGCCTGTTACTCCTCGTGAAGGAGCATAGACCGCTCGCTCATTCTCCATCCTACCCTGTCCTGGGCAATGCTTTCCAGCTCTTTCCAGTTGTTATTCATCATTTTCATATCTGCTTCTATTTCCCAACGTAATGTCTTCTTTGGTCTTCCTCTTTTCCACTTCCCTTCAGAATTCCAAGTTAAGGCTTGCTTCGTGATGCTTTGCGTAATGTATGCCCTATTCACTTCCAACGTCTTTTCCTAATTTCCTCCTTAGCTGGGTGCTGGTTGGTTCTCTCCCAGAGAAGGCTGTTGATGATGGTATCTGGCCAATGGATGTTGAGTATCATGCGTAGACAACTATTTATAAATACTTGCACCTTCTTGATGGTGGTTGTTGTAGTTGTCCAAGTTTCAACCCTATACAGTAGAACTGCCTTGACGTTGGTATTGAAGATTCTCACTTTGATATTAGTTGACAGACAGTTGTTTTGAGTTCCATATGTTCTTCAGATGTAGGAATGCGGCCCTTGCTTTGCCAATCCTTGACTTTACGTCTGCATCTGAGCCTCCTTGTTCATCGATGATGCTTCCCAGATATGTGGAGGATTCTATATGTTCCAGAGTTTCGCCGTCAAGTTTGATTGGATTGCTGTTCTCCGTGTTGTATTTGAGGACCTTGGTTTCCTCCTTGTGTATGTTGAGGCTCAATGATGCAGAGACTACTGCTACACTAGTTGTCTTTATCTGCATTTGTTCGTGTGTATGAGATAGGAGGGCTAGGTCTTCTGCGAAGTTCAAGTCGTCTAATTAGTTCTGAGATGTCCATTGTATGCCGTGTTTTCCCTCAGGTATAAAAATCTTCATAATCTAGTCGTCGACCACCAGAAGAAAGAGGAGGGGAGAGAGTAAACAGCCTTGTCTGACTCCAGTCCTTACTTGGAATGCATCTATCAGCTGTCCTCCATGCATGACCTTGCACCGTAGTCCGTCGTATGAGTTCCAGATAATGTTGACAATCATCTCAGGAACTCTGTAGTGTCGAAGAAGTCTCCATAACGTTCTCTTATCTACACTGTCAAATACCTTTTCATAATCAATGAAGTTGATGTACAGTGCCGAGCTCCACTCAACTGATTGTTCGATGATGATCTAGAAGAACTGCAGGTGGAGTTACCAGGTACATATGCACCACACAGTAACAGTGAAAATGTGAAGAGGTAAAGAATGTAAGGTGCATATAATAAAAAGAGAAACAATAATGAACAGAAATTAGTGTATGATAGTGAAATAATAATGGGAGAAGCAGTTCAGTTAGCAAAGGTACAATATAAATAAAAATGACTGAATTGTCTGAATTTTAATTGAAGCAAGAATAGCATTTTCAGTAATGATTGTCATTTCATTTTATTTGCGTGTAAGCTGTGATACTGCCCGGGTGCCCAGACTGATGCAGGTGGTTTTCTTAGGGGGCCACACCCCGAGCCTTTGATCTAAAGGTCTGATCCACAAGACAGTGGGAGATCATAAGGTGATGCAGTCCGATGGTAGCCAGTGACTAACGATTAGTTCATACTCTATTTTTTCCCACAGGATGGAGCCCATGTGCACCATTGGTTTGGACTCAGGGTTTTCCATCTACCCTAGGTGGACTCTCCGTGTCCACCAAACCGGTTAAAGCTCCGGACATTCGTTTTTGTCCTCTCTATTTCGTAAACAGCATTAACGATGCGAAAAAGCAGTGAGTAGGAATTCCCTGACAGCATTTGTATGCACGTGGCTATGTGAGAGCATTTCGAGAGGGAATGCGGACTCTCCCTACCTTTGGCCGTACCAGGGCATTTGGGAGCATTACAACGCAAACTTCTTATGGTATATGTTGGATGTTGTTAAACCTGTCATATAAATTAAATACCAAGGAAATATAACGTATGATTTTGGTTTTTAAAAAAAATCAGAAAGCATGTTGGCATAAATATTTATTAAAAGGATGTTTCGTCACTTCATTCTCCCTCCAGCTCTTCCTACTTTTGGCAAGAGATCCAGTAAAAACAAATATCCAACTGTCACTGACTTCGGTTTCAACTATATCTAAGTCGTTCAATCTTTTAGTCTGTATGCCTAATCTTAGCCTCTTCCTTGACGTGGCAGTTGGTCATGCGTATTGCGGTTAACCAATTGAGCTGTATTGGCTGAAACATTCGTTGCTTTAGGTCCTACCATACCAGGTAGTTCAGTTGGAGGACGATAAGACTAAAAGCAACAAACTTATGGTCCGAAGACAGAGTCATACTACTGATTACTACGTTATGGTAGCAGCAAAATGTTTCCTCCAGACAGCTAGAATCTACAGCAAAATTGTCATCTAATAAAGGAAGGAAAGAAAAGTTCCACCCAATAAATAGCTCACCTTACTCCCTTCTACGTATTTCCGTTTTTTTCTGGTAAGACCTTACTATAACAAAGCTGTTTCATTTGAAACTAATCACAAAAAGCCCGCTGTATGAGCGGCCTCAAAAAGTTAACCTTTGTACTTCGATCACTCTAATTCAGCTTCCTTTTCAGTTGATACAAGAAGAAATATCCTTTCACAATGTGGGCATCCAGAAAATGGCAAACAAACTCGAAACCAACTTTCTGAAATGTATGAGAGACCTTACTATTGATCATCATCCTTTTTGAAGATCTTTTTATTTATTTGAACACATAAATATTGGTACAAGCGGGCACCAAATATATACGCTCCACACAGGAAGATCTCTAATTTTTTATCCCTTGATGTCTTGATATTTTATATTTTCTAAACAATTAAATATGATTTATGAAACACTTACTCATATTAATTTGTTGTCTTTCATAGTTATAATCATACATCTGAAGACTGGGAAATTTATCGTGAGCTTTTAGAAATTGCCACACATTTAATGCCTCAAATGTTTCGATCGGCTAGTGAGAATTCACATTTTTGTTCTGAAGGTTTAGTTGACACTGATCCCGATGGATGCCTATATCAACCAGATAATATTCTGGGTACGTTATTTTTTACATTATTATTTCATCGCTATGTTAATGTGAAGTTTTATAAAATCGACCGGTGTATCTTTATGATATTCAACGTTGTATATGACTAGATGACGACCAGGTTTTTGATCAAGTGGAACGTTAAGCAATCTTACACATAGCATTATTTGGTATTTGGTTAGTATTAGAATCCAGGATATGCGTCAATTGGATGTTTTTATTACCCATTTCATTTCGCTTCAAGGCCTACCAAATATGTCATTGTCAACCAGTCATACGTAGCATAAAACTCGACACGTGCATCTGTTCAAGTTCTCATACCTCATTAGCACAGCGAGATAAAATTATTTTAAGATGAATCCCAAAATAGTAGTCCCGAAATAGACGAGCGATGCCTCGAAGACACCTGTGGTCGAATACTAGTGCCCACGAATGTTCTCTATTATTGATGGCCATGTTCCACATCTGTAAAGCGGAACGGGGCGAACTGCTGAGTAGCAAACCCATCTTTTGGTTGACATACGGATATCTCATCTACTCCACGAGTGACGCAAGTTGTCAGTGATCAATTTAATTTACTAAGTTCGTGTTGAAATTTCGTTAGCCACCAGCCCATCATGACTGGTGAAGCTTCCGAAATAGGTGAAACGGTTGCCGTACTCAAGTAGTTCACTCACTATCATTAATCTGAGCTCCGATGCAGGCCAACACTGAATTGAAATTTTGAATTTGAAGGAGAGAATCTCATCCTAAACACATTTGGACTGTTGCTTAAAGCTGTCAGAAGACCACATTTTTTCACTGTCTTCACTCAGAGCTGTGGGAAAAAGCTAGTAAAATACTAAGCAGCTTCTCAAAGTGAAATAGGTGAGAAGGTGTTCCAGTCTACATTCCGTTGATTGGGAGTCGAGTGCATTAATCACTAAAATCACTACTACACCATATATATATATATATATATATATATATATATATATATATATATATATATATATATATATATATATATATATATATATATATATATATATATATTTATTTATTTATTTATTTGAACACATAAATATTGGTACGAGATGGCACCAATTATATATGCACCACACAAAACAATGAGAATGGGAAGAGAAAAGGAAAGTAAGGAGCGTAAAAGAAGAAAAAAGAACAATAACGACCAGATTAGTGTAAGGTAGTGTAATAATAGTAATAGTAACAATAATAATAATGGGGGAAACGGAAATGTACAATCAGAAGAAATCTTTCAGTTAAGGAATATTTAACCACTTTCTATGAAGAAAGTAAAAGAAGGTTACAGCAGGATCGCCACTGGCTTCTATTCTGAGCCATATCTGATAACGTCTGTAGCCATTGTGTAGCACCATCTCTCGGACCCCAGCCGGGGAGTCGTGAAGGACCAACACAAGCCACTCTTTTGCAGCTTTCTTTCATGCCACGACACCATGTCATATACTGATCACCTCTCCGCTTTTTCCAACCAGTCCCAGAGTCGGCAAATAATGCACGACGTGGAATTCTGTGGGACGACATTCATAGAACATGTCCAAGCCACTTAAGTCGATGTTTCAAGATGGTGACACCAATTGAATTATCGTCTCTGTGCCCGAACACACGATGCCGAACCTCTGCATTATTGACATGGTGTTGCCACTGAATGTCAGCAATCCTTCGGAGACAGCGATGATCGAACACAGAGAGTCGTCTAACGTCCTCAACTCGGAGAGGCCAGGTTTCACAAGCATAGAGCAAAACTGCTCTCACCGACGCATTGTAGATCCGACCTTTTACAGCCAGACTAACATCATGAAGGCGCCAAAGATGGCCCAGATTGGCATAAGCCGCTCTGGCTTTCACTACACGTGCATTGATCTCATCACTCACGCCACCACCATCACTTATGCAGCTACCTAGATACATGAACTTCTCGACTACTTCTATCTGCTCACCATCCAGGATGAGTACAGGATTAGAATCCTGTCAGTCTTGTAGAAGTACTTTTCACTTCGAAGGTGCAAAGCACACACCATATCTACGGACACTGATTGCCAACTGATTAAGTGCGGATTGCATGCCTCGGACATTATCGCACAGTAAGACAATATCATCCGCATACTCAAGGTTGAGAAGTCTTTCTCCAGACAACAGATCCACACCGCCATTTATTGCATCCATCAGAGCTGTTTCCAGAATGTCATCAATGGCAAAGTTGAATAAAAATGGTGAGATTGTGCAATCCTGCCTAATCCCATTGCTTGAATGGAACAGTGGAGAGAGGTGGTTGTATGCCCTCACTCTTCCTGAAGTGTTTTTATATAGGGCCTTTAGGATATTAATAAACTTCTCAGGCACACCCTTCTTCAATAGACAATCCCAGAGAACAGTCCTGTCCAACGAATCGAAGGCAGCCCTGATGTCAAGAAACACTACGATTGTTGGCCTTTGATAAGTATGACGGTGTTCTAACATTTGGTGGAGGGTAGAAATATAATCAATACATACTCGATCAGAACGAAAACCAGCCGGAGGTAAGTCATCTGGGCCAGGTGATTTGTAGCGCTTCAAGAGTTTGAGTTCCTTGCGGACTTCCGCCTCATTTGTTGGATCAGTCGTCACTGGCTATGGAGGGCAGGACAGTCTGACCGATGTTGCTGGATTAGCAGGCCAGTTGAACTGCCCTTCGAAAAATTCTGCCTATCGTCCAAGACGTCGATGGATGTTAGTGATTTGCATCCCAACATCCTCGTAGATTGTTTCGCTCACACCAGACTTCTTGCTGCCGGTGGCTCGGATGAGTTGGAAGAGCTTCCAGTAGTTGTGGTCTGTGCACAGTTGCAATAGACGGTCCCCGTTATCTGTCCTGCGACCAACAAGTCCCCATCGACCACCTAAACGACTCCCTACCTGAGCATTCAAGTCTCCGGCTAGTACTACAATATCTGTCGAACTCACTTTTTGGAGAAGAACAGATAACTGGTGATAGAATTCATCCTTGATTGTATCCGGGCTGTAATCTGTCGGAGCATAGGCGGAGATGACGAAGAGACATCGTTTTTCACGCCGATTTCTCACTTTGATGGAACTCTCTAATCTAACAGCACATAACCGACTGTTAATGGGGATCCAATCGATTAGTGTTGCCCCAGCCCTAGCACTTAGTGCAACAACAGCAAGATCAGACGAGGATGCCACAGGGTCCCCGGATAAACGCACGTAAAACAAGCTTTTTGAAGCGACAGATGGGGAGCGAATTTGTAGTACTTCACCAGAATCTTGAATAGGGGTCTCAGATAGACAACAAACGTCGATATTAAGACTTTCCAAAGACATAGCCAGCCCTATCTGTTGTCCGACCTGCATGAGTGTGCGAACGTTGAAGACAGCCAGTTTGAATGGTGCATGTGGTTTCAGAAAAACTGCTTCAGTATTTGTATTTGGTGGTAGCATACAATTTTCAACCAGGCAGTGACTCTAGAACGTTTAGATAGAACCGAGTTTCCACCATTGGCGAGATGTTGTATAAGTCGAAAAATAAGGATACATGAAGTGGGAATAAAACAGAGTGAATAAATGACGTAGTAAATAATAGTAGTAATAATAATAATAGTAATGTGAATTGTTTGACTGTTAATCGAAGCGTGAACAGAATTTTCAGTAAATATCGTCATTTTCACCATATTTGTGTGTGGGCTGTGATACTGCCCGGATGCTCAGAGGGAAGCACGTGGTCTTCTTAGGAGGCCATACCCCGAGCCTTTGACCTAAAAGTCTGATCCACAAGACAGTGAGGGATCGTGAGGTGATGCAGTCCGATGGTAGCCGGTGACTAACGATTAGTTCATACTCCATTTGTTCCCACAGGATACTGGAGTCCATGTGCACCATAGCCAGTCGATCGATTCAGCATTTCAAAGTGAATAAAATTTTGAACATGGTATATAATTCAATTTCTAAACTACTAATAACCTAATTTACTGAATATTGTCAACTGGTTATTCAAGACTTTTTTAAGTTTCCTAGGTTTTTTTTTTTTTAGCTTTATTCAACATTATATTTTTAGTACAACATAGAATTCTCAGCATAAAGTATTTCAACAAGTTTCCTTTTCTTATACCTTGATCTATTTTGACGATAAATTTTGAATGATGACCGGTTAGATTTTAGGAGTTCGGTAATCCACATTTGATTAATGTTCGTTCGTTTCAATGCATATTGCCAGCCACCATGATGTCGATGATTGTACCTTTTTGTATCACGTATAGCGAAAGGTTGTAAACTTTTCATAAACGCGCCTGAATAGATTGTGTGCACAATGGACATAATGATGAACTAAAACAAGCAACAAAACAGATAACTTGATGAAATATGTAGATCGGAGGAACAGGTAGCCCAGATATTCAAGCAGGCGTAGTCGTGCACTGCCTGTGAACTAATACTACTATGTTAATATACTCAATCTACCATTAAACTAATCCCGTATAGATTGTTTTTAAATTTAGTCACGCCTGTTATCCCTCGTGGAGGATTATTTTTAAGTGCTCTTTTTTTGTTCTTACCCCCTTTTCAGATGATCCACACTGCCTTTCTTATCTGTTATCATTTTATGATCATTTATGTTTATGGGAAGAAGGTTCACCTGTGCCAGTTTTACATGTAGGTTGGGTTGATAAATTAATGGTAAATTTGACACGATTTACTCAACGTGCTAGACGTCATCTTTGCTTATCTGTAGCATCCGATAAAGAAGATAATAAAAGTGATATTGTCCATTCACCTGCATTAACACATTCGACATGTAGATCAAGTCGATGGACAACTGAATCAACTGATACAACAAGTGAAACAGGAGTACTGAATATGAATAACATAAAACGTACTCGTCGACATCGATCGAATCAAATCGATGCCACATCTAATTTGTCTACTCCTATCGCTAAAAATGATCTTCCAAAACCGAATGATGATATTGATGATGTAAATGCTAAACCTGAACTAATCAATGATTATTATACTGATGGAAATATCCAGTCTCCATCTTCTGTAATAACAAATCAAGATATAACTTATGAAACGTCTACAGTAGTTACAAGAGCACAAAATAACAAGAGCGATATGGAAACGGATTCATTAGGTAAATTATTATTACTATTATTAACGAAATTAACTAATCGATAGGTCACTGATTGTTGTATAACTCTTGATTACATATGGTTTGTTTTCCTATTAGCATTTCCTGGAGGGGGAAAAATTTTGTTCATAACAACCTCCTAATATAATTGTCAACAAGAGATCATCCAATAAAAGGCTTATTTCATCATTAGCACGGGGGTAGAGTAAATGGGACAGAGTCCTACTACCAGTTATCAAATTAAAGACTCAATCCTTTATATAGCTAAATTGTAAATTCATAGGCTTGTAACATGAATGTGTCGGTTTGATTCTTTAGAGTGGGTTTAGGAGAGTGGAAAATATATTTTCTAAAATTTTTGTGTATATCAGTTCATTCAGTCAATCAGTACAAATATTGGAAAAGGATAATGTGAACCTATCATTCAGTAATCTCAGAAAATTAAATTATATTTAATTATTAGAAATAGTAAATATTCATTGCCCATATATATATAATTGAGGAAACAGAATGTTTGGAGTTTTGATACTTGACTGGATAACAGTTATGGAGAAAACTAATAGTAAATTTGTTTGTTCAGGTGTATTCTGCTGTTGTGCATGTTAAGGACTACAGTTGGTCAATTCCTATTGGGATATGTGCATCTTAAGCAGATTACATCCATACTACCATATTGGCCAGTCAGTTATTATCAACGTAGGGCCTTACATAGATGCACGTTTGCCTAAGTTGCCATACCAGATTAATACAAGATAAAATTAAGATGATCCGCAAAAAAGTCGAAAGAATATAGTGTTAGTAACAGTTTAAAAGATTGAAAATTTAGAATATGGTTCGAGAAAAATAACACTGAAAGGTACGTATAAAGGGATATTTAAATTTAAATTCTAAAGGAAATGCGGATGCAACTGGACCCATATCACTCGAATTTACCTGCGACTGATCGCGGACCCTAACTGTGTCAGTCAGTCAGCTACAACGACTGTGTAGTCTACAATTGCAACATAACTCAGACTAATAGTCAATGAATTCATGAACCAGTGATACGCTTTTGTTTGGCTGCTTCGAGATTTCTTCCAACTTCCTCGGGTGCCTGAAAACATTGCCTGTCATAGTAGGTAGTGATTAGGCATAAGTCACTACACATCTCCCATGCACCTCAATCGATTATAATTCACAAACTCGTATATCACTATTTAGTCACAGGTTTTCAGTCAAGTTGGTTAGTAGCTATCAGAGGAATCCAGAACACACGTTTTGTCTCACTCGGAACCAGTCAACCGAGTGTACTTGTATCCCAATGTTGATGTCCGCACTAAGACTCGAACCTAGTACCTTCCGCCCTAAACGCTAGTGGGTTATCCACTGAGTTATTGAGTACAGATAACCACTAACTTATGCAACAGATGTAAGTTTTTTGCAAGGGTTTGTGTTTTACCGTTATGTGAACATCAACACTGAGATACAGGTAGACACCCAGCCGACGAACCCTAAATAGGACGAAGTATGTGTTTCAGATTCCACTGTTAACCACTATCCAACTCTACTAAAAATAGTAGATTTATGTTTTACTGAACACTGATCCATTGACAAGCATATACACCCAAAAATCTATAGTTAATATGTGCACTCACAAAAATGTTTTCCTTAACTAACCAGCAGAATAATAATTTTCTATCAGATCATTGAAGAACATGTTAGTTTTTTCAAACAGACGTCATTCGACTTTTAGCCACTACGCCTTAGGTTCGAACCCCACTCCATCTATTTCAGTTTAGGCAACCGGATAGTACACTTAAAGTGTATGGTTCCATACTCAAGTGCACGAAGTGAATGAGCTTATTTGAAATAATTTTTTTCATTTCAATAAAATAATATCGTTTGTCGGTCTCTCTAATGATATAAAATATTATAATGTAGTAAAACTTAAATTATAAAATATGTTTTTTGCACTACGTATCAGCTGGGAATTTTGCCAACTGCATAGTTTCACAATTGAATTGTTAAATTAGTTTATATTCATCATTCAGTGGTTAAAAGTTTTGTTTTTTTTAATGTCCAGTTCAACTTTTAATTATGTATACTGTTTTGATTCCAGTGGAAGCTAACAAGGGTTCTAATCCTCATATAGTAAAATCTTGTAGAACTTCTGTCACAGTTGAAATACCCGAAGAAACATCCAACACAAAGATATCTATTAAAGAATCCTATTCACCCAATACAAAATCTGTCCAATCATCCACTCATACAAATTCAATGTTTGATGATATTCAATCTGATGCGGATCAGATTTTGTTGGATACTGAGGAACAAGATGGATCACCTTCTCCACTAATGGATTTTCCTAATCATGATGATTTACTTGCAAGTTTAGTTGAAGCATGTGATCATCGTCTGTTGAATCCAGCTTTTCTATGGGGCATGGAACCTCATTCACCTTTTCTGCCAGCTAATGTTGCTCCAGAAGAAGCATTAAATCGTCTAATGACAGTATTAGAAGAAAGTAAACCATCTGCTTCCATAATACACAATTCAAATGATGTCATATCTACCGAAACTATGGTTCATCATATTTTTCCAACACCTCCAAATTCTGGAAGTTTCACTGGATCCTCGGAAAATATCATCCATGAAGAATCAACTCCATCTACTACATTATCCCATACAACACTATGTACATCACCTCGAGTTCCAGAAAGTTCAGTACGTGAAATAGAAAAGTTAACATCAACTGCAGTAACCGTCCCAATTTGTTTAGAAAATCAAGAACATTCAACTAATTACCCTGGTGATAGAAATAATAATTTAGAAATCACATTAAAAACAAGTTCTGTATTACCAACAGAAAAGCATATATTGTTTCAGGACAATTTCGACACTGTCGATGGCGGTTGTAATAATAATGATAACAATAATAATAATGGTGATGGTGTTTCGTCAGAAGATTTTGACCTGTTAACTAATATTCCTAATGAATTAATGGATTCTGTCGCCAGCCTAGTAGTTGATAATCACAATCACCATCAAACTGATCATCAAATCAATTCAAACAGTCCTCCTACTGATTTTTTTGATTTGTTATTAGAATCAGAGAATAATTTAAATACAACATTATGTAATCAACATCAATGTGAAATAGAAAATCAAGAACAAAATATAAATATTAATGGTAATAATAGTGTTGTCAACCAGTCGTCAACAAATCATCGTACAGTTAAAACAATGGAAGAATTAACTGTTCACTTATCATTATATTCAGTTAAGATGGCTTCAATTATTGAATTGTTACGAGCGCCTAGATTGAATTCCTCTGCGATTAAACTAGCATTGACAGCACAAAGTCAAGTGTGTGTTCGCCGATCTAGTAGTGTACATTCTAATTATTTTTAATCGTTTTTCCTTCATTGCATTGTTGTATGTATTTATTATTCATTCTTTGTGGTATATATATATATATATATATATATATATATATATATATTGAAGCTTATTAGTCTAACTGGATCATTTGTTTGTGTATATGTGTGCAAATGTACATAGATACTTATTATGTGTCCGTATGCTTGATTCAAGTGTTCATTATTCTTTTTGTAATTTATCTTTCGTTTTGTTCATTGTTTATTTTTTTCAAATCTATTATAAACACTAGATTATTGTTACCTTTGTTAATTAGGGATAGAATCATTAAATCATGTCTATTATTTTCAATTGTCAGTTTTGCATTATGATATTTCTCGTTTCTTTTTAATTGTTATCTGTACATAAGCGTATGAGTATATTCGTGTATTCATACGTTGCTCTTATGTTTTATTTCAATGCGTTAGTTAACACATTTCTATCCATCTAGAAATACCATCAATAACTATTATCATTCATTTTATTGAACCATTAAATCATTCATTTTTGCTACATATACGTGTATTATATGTCGTTAAGAGAATTACTTGAGGCTTTTACTTTCTCAGTCTAATCAAAAGTATCCCCGAATTCCCCTTATATATATCAGTGCATATTGAAATTTCCTTTTTCTGAAATTCAGTTGTTCTTCCTAAATAGTATTTAACTATTACATTTTACCAGTTGTACACACACCTTTCTTAGATTGTCTTTTTATGCCTAATTCTCTCTCTCTCTATTCACATCCTCTCATCAGCCATTATTACCATTCTCCATTGTCCATACATACATATGATTCACTTTTTTAAAAAAAAAGCTATTTTGTTTAAAAGTAACTACAAAACTATTTTTTTTGTGTGTCTTCAAAAGAGGAATTTTCAAAATATTTTTTCTATCGTTTTGTAACCTACATTAATTGTGTATTATTATTATTATTATAAGTGTATATTGATTCGCCTGTACATTCTACTTATTTTTCTATTATTTTACTCAGACTATGTATGTGTGCTTACTTATTGTTTACATGTGTTTTTTTTTAATATTTGACTCACGTTGAAACACGACCAAAACATGTGTATGTATATTTCATTGTATTTACTTTTTACACAGTAACTAATATATCTATCTGCGTTTTTCTCATTCAAATATATGTTGTTTTGTATGTGTACATGTGTGTGTACGTTTTGTAAAGTTGACATGTAACTCTTTTACCTCTTGGTGTCGTCCCACCACCGGTTGATTCCTTTTCTATATTTTTTTATTAGAAAAAAATCTTTACCAAACATGTGTTTTGACCTCAGATTAAATTTTATCGAATTTGTTTATTTACATTTTTATTTATTTATTTATAAAAAAAACTTATAGTTTATTTGATTGTTCTAAATTCCGGTGAATTAATTCATTCGTATTATATCTATGTAAATCTGTAAAGAGTCACTATAAAAAGCCTTTTGTGTTTCAATTTGTGTTTATTACTAAATTTTCAACTTTTTGAAAGTTTACCCTGTTGTTCTAAGTGGTCGTCCAATTCTCATATATACATAGTTCTTATATACATCCCCGATTAACTACTTTCATGAGGAAGGTAAGAGTAATTAGGAAGATTTATTGGCTACCAAATAGGAATATATCCACATATTCATTAATTAATATGGATTTCACCCTCAAAAAATCAGATTGTTAGCCTCTCTCCCTCGGATAATTAAGCTACATTTTAGCCAATATCGTACACTCGTTAACATTTCCTGTCTATCATTTGATCCTGAACTAATGTGTCCGATCGACCTAGCCTATCATACCCATAACATTTGAATGTGTTCTTTGAAAGATGTATAGGGAGTCATGTGTTAATGCATTTGCGATAGTCAACTGAACCAAAACATAATTCTGAAGTGGGGAAATAAAACAAACTCAATAGTGGTTTTAAAAATCTTGCTTTTAACCTAAACTCTGTTTACTCTACCCATCTGTAGCAAATCATATTAAATCTAACCAAAGTTCTTAATGTATTTTTTACTTGGATGATAAGACATTGACTTATTAACCGCATCATAGTTTCCAGAATTCTGCAACCTAAATCCTGGGCAGGAAGTGAGGTAAAGCTTTTATTTCGAAGGTTGGTCAGTGTATTCAGAACCAAAGTATTTGTGAGTTTTTATCCGACTTTAAGGCCCTCGAAGTTTTCGTGACGTGTTAAAATTAATGGTATAGTCTATTGAAATCTAATCAGGTTACTGCACAGCTTGTCTTCTAGAATGCCGATTGAACTACGTGTGTTCAGCATTTCCTTAGCTTCTAGATATTTTTAAGGGATGGTCGAGGGTTATCCGTAATGTCTTTTTATTAAAATGATTAGCCATGACTTCTTTGAGATTCATAATGATAATAATCTTACTCGGAGTCCTAACCTTGGTTTCAAATGGTAGTATTTAACATCACAACTACTTATTGGACTGTTCTCATTCAATGTATACTTCGACAAACTAAAAGTTTCTCACTTGTAGAATTAATTTCTAATAATAAGCCGTCATACACGATATGGTCACTTCGCGCTCATACCACAAGAAATTTTACTGTAGAACCCTGTGCACTGATTACTTTACCCTCTGGCCCATCCATGCCAGACCTTTTGGGCCCTTCCAGAAATAGTTTCTTCAAGCACTAAAACGAAGTTTTTCTCCAGAACTACGATCACGTTCTCAGTTCAAAGTTATCCTCTTTCACTTCTTGTTAATCAGATAGAGTAGGTGATTGGGCGATCTTCACCGATTTAAGCAGACTGGGTGGTCAGCCGGTTTCTGATTTACCGCTTGCGTTAGTCCATGAGGAAAATGATTGCCAAATCCATGAAACACTGTGTGGATGTGTTAGTAGAACTTTTTCTCCCCATACAACGGTTTACTTTCAAGTAGTTAGTTTATACAGCTAATTTCACTTGTTTGATTTGCAAATATCAGTCTGTTGAATTGTATTTGGCTTTTATTATATGCTTGAATCGTCTCTCCTTTTCAGTTGATTAAATGTATTAGTAAACTTTCCTGATTAGGCCTGTTTCTTATAACAGCTAAAAAGTGTATAATTTCCTATTGTCGTTTAACTCTTTTAGAGTTTCGCATTGAAACATTCACTACTACCAAAATTCTTGTCTTGTTCCGTTAACAGTTATAAAGACTAGTATCTGTTCTAATGATATTATTCAAAAATGCAACGTAAACTGTACAATGAAATCACTCAAATTAAATAACGACACTTCATTAAAATAATCAAAACAACTCATTCTGATCTCTCTGAATACTAGACGATATAGGTAAATAAACATATCAGAAAGGTCTTTGTGGATATTATAGTAATTTCAATAGTTGAGATCATGAGTCAATTGAAGCAGTGACCAGTGAAATTCAGTCGGGTTTGTTGTGAGATAGTAACTCACTGAAGACGATGGTGGATGTATCGCTCGATTTCATGGATTAGTTGTAGTTAGACATTAACATCGTTGGATGCCCGTTGACTCAGTGGTCTAGAGGTTAGGCACTCGCACGCAAGACTGATAGGTCCTAGGTTCGAGTTTCGTGAGGTGGGGTCGTGGATGAGCACTGCTGAAGAGTACCACAATAAGACGAAGTGGCTGTCCAGTGCAGGAACTTACATATTTACCTTTCTATATTTCAATAAAACATTGACTAGTGATATCATAATCGAGAGAATATTAAAACCAATTATACACCATACGATTAAACAGTCACTGTAAATCAAATGTAATTTATTCATTAGTAATAAATTTTCATTACTTAAAATAACTTCTAAATGAATCACTGACTAGAAATTGAGAAAAAAAGCAACAAAACATTATGAATATCAAATAATAGTCCCTCTAATTAGTAATAACAAGTTCACCAATTCTATAATTTGATTTAAAACTATTGAAAACAATCAATGAATTTATGGAAATGACACTTCACAATAACAATTACATAAAGGGACTAAATACTATGACATAAATAGTATGTTAAATTCAATTTCTAATTCGTTTCTCATCTCTGAAGTAAATTATATTTCAGTTTGATTGATACAATGAATTGTCAGAATGGGTTTTGTGGAGATTTTTAGAAATTCCACAGGTTGAAATCATGAGTCAATTGAAACTAGACCACCATGGAAAACCTGGAAGCACTGGACGGCCGTTTCGTCCTAGTATGGGACTCCTCAGCAGTGCGCATCCACGACCCCTCACCCCGCGGGATCCGAACCCGGGGTCTGCTGGTTTCGTGCGCGAGCACTTAACCAATAGACCACTGAGCCGACATCCAACGGTATTAATGTATAACTCCAACCAAATTTAAAAAGAATATATAGATAGAAGAATCGAACAGATCTATTATGCATCCTATTTCAATATTTTGAAGAATTCAAGAAGAAAAAGTAATAACAACTTCCAAGTTTTACTTAATTCTTGGTGCATTATTAATGAGTAATCTATTTTTTTTTCCAACATGACCACACCTCATTAGAAATTCAATAATATTTCACAAACTATTTATGAATCAAGTAGGTGGAGGTAGCCAATCGAATGCACTGTCTGACATAGGTTTCGTGTAAGTTTTTACTGGTCAGTTAAGCTTACCTTCACTCTTATAAGAATTGATGCTCTTTTTACGATTCGAACAGGCTTCATAGTCTGAGACAATACGGCTAAATTGTTGAGGTTGCAAATGACCTTATATAGAAGTAAGGTATTTACAAGCGACTAGTCACCACTGTGTGACCAATCAATGGTAGCTATTAATAAGTATTGATTTAGGTAGGCGTTTTTTTTTCATTTGAAAATAACTTTCATTATATAGGGACTTTTGTTTAAATTTGAACAGATAGTTCCAGTGTGTTTGGGTGCCGAGTTAATGTAAGTCATTAAGAAGGAAGAATGTATTTGTGAAATCTCAGCAATTAAATTTTAAGTAAATTCAACGTCCCACTGGGCAATTTGGTTCAGACTTTTCCAAGGAAATATAATCAAATTATCGAATATAAATAGGTATATGGTTCTTTGGTCAACTGTATACTAAATAGGTTATCCAATCATGTTAACATTGTTTAAAGTACGTATTTGCTGTACTGTATATGAAACGTCGTGTGCGACGAAAAGTTTATTAACATATTGTGTGTACTCGTAAACCGATCTAAGGCGTAAGAAGAAATTTCTCTGACTAGTTGTCACCTGTGATTGGTGAATTTTTTAACAAAACATACAATTTTTATGTATGATTGTAGAGTCTGGTTCCATATCAAGCCCATGTGGGTTTTTCTAACTTCCGGACAGGCCAATTTATTCATTCACCTTGAGTTATATTTTGACCTTCTTAATTATTCACTTATCAACCTTGACTTTTTATGTGTACATTGTTTACCGTACTCATCACATGTCTGTAGCTTATTTTCGTTTGACCATAAATATCGATTCATGCTTTGTTAAATCGAGTTGGCTCGCTCGCCTTCTCCGCACCTCTTTCTCTGTTTTGCTTCATCGGTTGTTTGTCCACATCAATTAGTGTACAAAATATACGTATTAAAAACTTCATTCTCGTATTTGACTTATTTAATTCTGTTATTCACTAACGTGAGTTAAGTCGATAATCAAATACGAAGATTGGTGGCATTTATGTTTCGATAACAATCATTCATACAATCGAACTGGTGTCAGATACAGGGCCACTAAATGATATGAGTCAAACATGTCATAACATGCTTAAAATGAAGATAAAAAAGAAATGAATGAATGTTTGTATTATTTTGCTGTTCCAGTTAGTTGTTCATCATATATTCAAACAAACAAACTGATCAGAACAGTTGAGTGTAATTGTTGTTGTTCAGTTAACAAGTGATAGATTAAATGGAATAATTATAAATTATTAGTTGTCATAGGACAGCTAATTGTATTTCATCTATCCTATGAATACTATCTGGATTTGCTCATATGATTAGGGCTTCGGCTGTTAATGTCTCTTTTTAAGAACTAAAACCTTTCTGGAGGATTCTTGTGCCAATCAATTGCATGGCCCGACTCTAGTTTTCACCATAGTTTGAAGTCAGTTTATTAAAAACTTCGGATGTGTGGTGGACCAAAAATTCTATTAATTCAAAAACGATAATAAAGTTATCACATCCAAAAATGTATGTATTAATATATCAAATATACTTTATAAACACAAGGAAAAGTTACAGGACGTTACTTAAATTGGCAGGCATTGGCGTGTTCGAGCTACATATGTTACAATAATCCACAATTATGATTGATTAATAATCCCAATGAAGGTTGTTATAATTCCAGCGGTATGTCCAGATGAGATATTTAATGGGAATATGGCTGTGGTCAATAAATGTAGAAAACAAATATTTTAGACTTCAGTTGTCGTAACAATAGGCAATTCAGAACAAGAGACGTGTGTTTGTAGCAGAGTATTTTCG